TGGACACTGCATGTTGCCCAGCCACTCCAGTATGCCAAGTTGTCATTTTCCAAACACAGGACAAAAGCTGAGCCTAAGCAAACCGGACAAATGCATTTTCCCAGCTCCCTTTGCAGGATCAGGGAGCTACAGCTAAGGTTGCATTAGTGTTTCTGTTATAAAGTCCTACTTTTGAAGCTTCAATCATTTGTATTTAAGACATCCTCACCAAGTGGCAATTTGGCACAAAGGGATGAAAACTTTGAGAAAAAAAAAACAGCTCTTGCACTAAATTCAGGAATAAAGGTCTCACTGATTTCAACTACATGGAACAAGGCCCAGAATTAGCTGCTTCTCTGAGGTAGCTTCAGATCCCCCATAGGGCTGAAGTATTCATTTTTCCTAACATAATTTTTACTTCTTTTCTGAGCACTTGAGTGATATCCCTGTTTTTGCAGAGCAAGCAGAAGGTTTACGGCCTGGCTAATGAGGCTTTTACACAAATTCCAGGAGCCATATCTCCTTGCTATATGAAAGATGCACAGCTTTGGCTGCAACTTGAGGTGTGCCTGCAAGTCCACCAGTATTGGCATCAACACCTCTCAGCACCAAGGACTATTAGATATCATATATGCACATGATCTTAATGACAGCACCAAGGAAACAGATACAAGTTCTTCAAACACTTCAAAAAGGTGCCAACATTTTTTTTTTCCCTTATATTTTTAATGTGCAGATTTCACTGGAGAGGGACTTGTCTCAGACACTGTGGAGCTCTAGCTTGGATGAACGCCTGAGGTTATCATGACACTCCAGCCACCACTGCAGATGCAACATGATACGGAGGTGCACAAACTCCCAGTAGCCACTAAAAAGAGAGCAGAAGAGCCTCTCTGCCCAACAACTTGGTTCTCAGGTAGGCTTGAAGGTTATACCAAGTTTCATGCTTCAACAGCTACAGGTAATCACTGCAAAAAATTCATGCCCAGGAATGATGACTGATTGCTTTCTGCAAGCACAAGCTACAAAAACTTAGGCTGCTGTGTAGACTGGAGGTATTAAAAAAGCTCCTATGAGTCTTCCACTACCTTCCCCATGTGGTACTATTTACCAACAGTAAGTACTAGAGACCTCTCATCAGCTATGTGCAAAGATGTTCTAAGCTGCCAACATTCATGTGTCTGTGGTCATTTACACAACCCTAGCTGGGCTGCTAATCCATTTCTTCAGCTCTGAAATACAGCAATTCAAATCTTGTCTTCAGATGCAGCCCTTCTCTGCATCCACTTCAGAATCTGACCCAAGGTATTACACAACTAACTGCTAGTTGGACAGCTCGGACATCCTGTAGCTAAGTAAAAAAAAAAAAAAAAAAAAAATCTGTCTTAAACTATGCCATATTTTCAGTTGTTTTCTTACCTTCTCTGTCACCCCCTTGAAAAGACTGATGAAAACCAAAAATTCCTTAGGAGTATTGATCTAAGCAAGCAAATTGTCATTCTATTAATTAATCTTATTTTTATTTATGCACTGTTTCAGACAGCCTAGATACTCCTGGAAAGAAAAGACATTGAAATAATTCTCATTTATATCAGAATGTGCCATTAGCTGGAAGGGTCTGCTTTACTTGAAACCTTATCCCTCTGATTTCAATCAAATCATCAAAAGAAACAGCATATGCCTCCTTCAGAATAGCTGTTTCTTATTATAATATTCAGTTACAAGTAAATCAGCAGAAGTTGCATTGCATGTATGTCATAAAGACAATCAGCTCCAGCACTTGGTCTGACCTCAGAACATCACTGAGCAGGGGAGTGTCAACCACTTTTTCCTCTACTAAGCAGAGCCGCCAAGCTCTTTAAATAGCACAAAAATTGCTGCAGTGGGACTTTGATTCCAACATATAAAGGAATGACGTAGTCAAGGCAGAAGTCACATTGCATAATAGGACTTTTATTGTAGGTCACAGCCAGTGTGTGCTAGTTTCCTGGGTACAGTGGCAGGCCTTGCTGCTTGTTTTAATTGTACTTGGGATTTTGCATGCATGCTTAAATCTAGCCAGACCAAATATATATATCTGATTCCTCATCAAAATGGATATATGATACATGGTCATACACCTGAAGGCAAGCATACAGGACATAGAACCAAATGTTCACAGGGCAGTCTACAGAATACATGGCAGGCTAAAGGTGAAACATAAGAAGTTAGTAATCACTGCAAATTAAACCTGTTAGCAAGGTGAGCATACCAAGAAGCTGCAGGCACCCATACTCAACACCCTGAACTACCTTGTCAGGTGCTGAGGCAGTAACAAACCTTACCCTACTCCTTATACATCCCTGGCCATTTTGTTGTGGCTGCTGCTGGTTTCACCCGAAGTCTCATAATTAAATTACCTGCTTGGGTTTGGACATCTCTGTAATACTTTTACCTGTACCACTTGTTGGTTCTGGGTTCCAATTCAATCTCTTTCATGCATGAAAGAGCTATCTCTTCTCTGATTGAAGAGATTGTCTCTTTGAAGAGGACAAGTGCTGCTGGCCTGAACTTCTGGGTTTCACAACCACATAAACTGAGCAGCTGACACAAAATGCTGACATAATAAAAAGACTCATTAAGGAGAAACAGTATGAAAATCACTTTTTATTAATTTTAAAACAAAAGAATTTCTGCATTTGCTTATCCAATACAAATTATTTCCCCCGTGGTCAGTTCCAGGATTAGCACTTACAGATATTTTACATCATCATATTGGATCACATTTAATCACTGCAATATATAAAAATCAAGTTCTGAGAGTTAAAAAGAGGAATGAATCAAAATCGGTGACAAGACTCAACATTACCCGAGGGGACACAGCAGCTCTGTCACCTCGGCAGCCTGACGCTTGCTCATGAGTTGCATCACTCTATGGATTTGATCTTTTTGCACTTCTTACCCCTCCTGAGGACATCACCTTTCTGGACTGCAGCATTCACAGTGCAACGTGGCTATTCCCACACACAGAGCAAGTAGTGGCACCTCTACGCAGACGGAGATACTCCTACCCACGCCAAATGCCATCTTCCTGCAGCAGAGAGCAGAGACATTCCTCTGCCCAGCACTGCCCCTGCCCTTGTGCCAGACCCGCACCGCAGCCCCACAACTAATAAGCCAAGCTCCTTCCAACAGACTGAACTGTAGGCCAGGATCCCCTGCCAATCCAGTCCTCTTCTTCCTTGAGGCCTCCACCTGCCTTCCACTAGTTAACTAACACTTAATGTCAATGGAATAACAGACAATCAAGCAATTAAACCCCAAATCAGTGCCAGAATTTTTTCTGTTTACCTAAGCAACAACAAAGAACCTCCCAGTGATTTTAAGAACAGACCTAAATGACTTTTAAACTCTGAGCTCTAAGTCTGATTGGCAGATTTAACAGACGAAAGCAGATAGTTGGCATCACAAAGCAACCGCACAAGTTACACATTAAGCTCCAGCCTAACACTTTTTTTCGTTTTGTGCTGGAGAGAGATTTTGGGTTGTTTGTTGGTTTATATTTTTTTTCTTCTTTTGTTGTTACTGTTGGTGGTTTTTTTTTTTTTAGATCTTTATAATCAGAACCATTTAAAATCTATCAATCCTGGAAAGCTCACTAATAAATCAGTCCTGTTTTCAGCCTACAGGGATGATAGTGTCTTTGAAAAGAGCAAAGTTTCAGACAAAAATCCAATACTGTTTTTTCCTGCAAGCACCATAAGTCCCAGTTAACAAAACCAAAAGCAACAGACAGAAACACAGCCCTTGACTAAGTCTGCATTTTTCATACACTACTTCTACACATAGTAGAAGCTGAAAAGGCAACCTGTAAAATTATGAAGTGACTACCAATGCCTGATGATGCCAATTAGCACTTTTTCAGAACAAGATGCTTCGTTCTGGTCCATACAGGACAAAGTCTCTAAAAAGTAGAGTACTGGTGGTCAGTTAAAAATGAATCTACTATAACTGCCAACTGCCAAAGACTTCTATGTTTCAGTCAGCATAAAACTCTCATCTTACTTCCTTTATCCACAACATCTAAGATTTTAATTCTCACATCTTGATGGGTATGACTAAGTACATAATTATATCACCAGTGTTTCTGTGTAACCTGCTAAAAGGCCTGGCACACATTCACATGTGTCTTTTTCATTTTATAATTACTTAATTTCACCACTTAAAAATTCCTCTAATAGCAGTTCTAAAGTCCCACTTTGTTCCAATGCTTATGCAAATCAGAGCTGTACCAGTTGCACTTCTAGAAACCAGTTTAGTTTTGCTTAACACACTGCCTTGCACCACCATTATCTTCATCTTCTACTACAGGTTAGAACGAGTCAGCCATGGAAATTCCTAGAAGAAAAACAAACAGAATAAAAATGGTATCAGAATGGATAAACAGTAACAGGACCAGGATTCAAATATGTATCAATTATCAGATGGCATCTACAGGAAATAGACTGCTCAAAACCATTTAATCTCATTTTGTCAGGAATGAAAATGAACAATCATAAATTCTGGTAGCAGTCAAAGACACTCTGTGCCAATAGGAGCCAATGGGAAAAAAAAAAACAACAAATGGAAACCCAAACCAAAAACCAAGGAGAGCAGATGGCACAGCATAAAATCACCCATCCTCTTGTCTCCAAGACCTAAAGACAATCTTTCTGCCTTGCAACTATCTCTGCCTTCTGTGCAGTTTAAGTGGTACTTTCTGTGATTTCAGAGGCTTGCCCACATGAAGTTTGCAGAAAAAGGAAGGAAAACATACATACCTGTTTCTTTCTCTCAGACTGTGGATCAATCATCACATTTATCAGAGAAGGTGTCTGCTTGTCAGTCAGGCTTGCTTTCAGAGCATTCTGCAGTTCTTCTGGCGTTTTAACAAAATATCCTTTTCCTCCAAAGGCAGACATAATTTCCTCATAGTGTGAATTTGGCAGGAGAGAAACAGGAGGTGCACTGTAATGAAATGGAAAACCTCCAATGAAGGCAGATAAGAATTGCCAGACTGACCAATTTAATGACTCCAACACTGGTTTTAAAGTGAAAGATGGTTATTATGCTGACTTGATAAATTCTTCTGGGCTGGAAGAACTGCGTTTACTATACCACTTAAGCTATGTTTATAAAGTAGCATACTCATTTTCATCTTCTGGAGACATTCCTGAGCAAAGGTTTAACCTAGTTCTCTTGGTACAGAGATCTCAGCTGCAGAAGCAGAAGCCCAGTGTAAACTCAGAACACAACTCTTGGGTAACTTTGGAGATTATCATGACTTTAGAGGTCAGCCCACTACTAACTCTGTACTGTGTGGCCTGAACTCCTGCAGGAACCAGAGACAACTAAGAGAGTCATCTCTGTGCTGCATTGTTGTGTAAACAGTAGTCTGTAATTAGGTTGGTTAATTGCTTTTGGTAACTGGTTCTTACTTAAGCCAATATAGCCTAGCAGTAAGTTCACTTTATGAAAAACTTCCATCTGGAAAAAAAGCAAGCATAAAAAGTAAACAGAATGAACATTTTGGTCACTTCTTCCTTAAGTAAGAGGATATACTTTGAAGACTCTTACCATGTAGCAGGTTCCCCAAACTTTAACATCTCCTTCCAGGCAACTGCATCCAAACCAGTGTAAATCCCATTGTTGTTTACGATAATAATCAGGATTGGCAAGTTGTATCTACAAAAAGATGCATTTAGAAGAATTCTGAAATACTTGCACCTCTCTGTAAGGTGTTAAAAGTGTTATTTTCATCAAAAGTAAAAGGAAAATTTTTAAAAAACCAACAAAACTTCCACTTGAAACACGATCTACTCATCACTGTTAACACATTATGTCACAATACCATAAAAATTACCATTTTTTTTGGGCTTGTTTTTTATGTGCATTTAAGAGTACCCCACGTAACTGCAGTACCCTTGGCCTTCTAGTTAAAATTGATCCTGGGAAGATATAAAGAGGATCTTGAGCAAAACACACTCACCTGCAAATAGTCTCCACCTCCATCCCAGAAAATCCAAAAGCACTATCTCCTTCTATGCAGATGACTCTCTTTTCAGGGGTTCGGTCTTGAGCCACCATTGCTGCTGCTACAGCAAATCCCAGCCCGACTCCCATCGTTCCAAAAGTACCTGCATCAAGCCTCAAGGGGAGAATACAGAATTACTATCCCTCTAATTCTACTCAAAGTTTTAAATTAATCGATGGTGAGCTTACTTTTAATAATCTGTCATGTGCTATTAAAATTCTATTTCATAAACAATAGGTATAAAGAGATATCAGATGTATAGATTATTATATTCAAACATTTGATAAGACTGCAAATGTTTTAAGTGCTATAAACATACTGCAACTCTGATTAAAATTAAGAACTCTTATACACTAGCTGTACTACAGCACAGAACTACTCTTGTATGCTTTTAGCTTGCATAGTAACAGTATTTCAAAAACATTCAATTACTGTTGAGATAGACAGACTACATGAAATCTTTCTATATTAATTCCTTGAAAAAGAAACTAGAAGTCTGAAAGCCATCGTTTAAATAATGCAGTTCAAATTTCTGTTCAACTTTTGAAATCAAATTGAAAGCTGTAATTAAGTTAGATAATTTCAGCTGGAAGCACATAATGGATACAAAAGTACATAAAGAACTAGATTATTCCAGGGTTAACTTCTCAAATTCACTTTCAGATAAGTGCAATGCAATCTGAAAAGGCAAACATTAACATTACTGTGCCCTTATTTTAAATAAGGAGGGAAAAAAAGCAAACTTCTCCCAACTTTATTGGAAGTATGTGGGGTTTTTTTTGGTAGATTAGTTGGTTTTTTGTTTACAAAGAAGTATGTAGGTTCAATTTAGGACTTCAGTCCTACTTTCACAAGGCACCAGCTTCACAGTCAGATTGGAATTTTCACCAGTCAGAACTCACTTTTTCCCCCTATCCAAGACACAGCACTAAATCCCTACATGTGTTTAAACCAGATTACACATAATAATTAAAGTGATATACCAACACTTCCAAATTTGAGTGCCTACATTTTAGGCATGCAGGTTTACATGGAAGTGTATACAACCTTGTTTTCAAAATGAATTGATTCTTAAGTTTTCCCCATTTCTGAGTGTGTTTCCAACCAAACCTCTTTGTACCAATTCTTTTCAACATAAGAATCCCACAGATTGTTTTTCTTTTAACTCAGTATTTACCACAGACCCTGAGCACAGAAATAAACATCTAGATCAGGGAATTCAAAATGATGCTTTTCACTCACTTTCCACAGAAGCGTGATAAACTATAAACATCCTGTTGCAGAGCACACAGACAAGTTGTAGAGAATTGTTAAAATCTGTGACAGGACATCAGTGTATGAGTGGAAAACTTCCCTTAAGCCCTCTCCCAACGTACTGAATTTTTATATTTTATTTAGAACCTTTAAGGAGAATTACAAACATTCCAGGCCACCATACTTCTCAGCTAAATGAAAACATATATAGATAGATTAAGCCTGTTGATTCAGCACAACAAAGAAAATACCACACCTTTGACGGGGATGGTAATTTGGAAGCATAGTGCGCCCAATGTCCATGGTGTTTGCTCCCTCACTTACTAAGATGCAGTCCTTGGGTATCAGTTCTCTGATGTGATGAAAGACTGTGTAATAATTCATAGGTAAGGATTCCTGTAATGCTAATCCCTTAAAAATAAGAGATATTAGTGACTCCTATGCATAGAATTTATAAGATGCAGAATTGAGACATGTAAATAATAATGATGGAAATATAAATGCACTCTGCTAGGTAAAGCTGAGATATTTGCTCTTCTATGCACTACATCAAGGTCACTCCTCTGTTTATCCTGGTGAGACAATGTACTTATCAGAGGCTCGCTCACTTCAGAAACCCTTGGATGGCCTACCATTAACAGGAGGTTACTAAGACTCAGTTTACACTGAGAGGCTTTGTGAAATTTTTTCTGCACATAATTTTGACTATTGATAACCCTAAGTGAGCTGTCATCTGTGTGCTGGGAGGTAGTTCAAAAGAGTGATCTGCTTGAATGAATTTATTTTAAATCTCAGTATTGGAAACAGACATCTGAACTTGCAGAATACGAGCTACAAGAAGCTAGGCATATGGCAAGCATCTGTGGTCTTCTGGCCTTAACAGCTACTTCTTTTTAATGTAGATTATACTACCCCCAGCATTGCTAAATAGCACAATTACAGAAGAAAACTAAGAATGCACTTTTATATGCACTCTGCGTGGAGTACTTGGAGGTACTTGAAGTTCCTGACCATTGCTTAGAAGTCACTGCCTGTAATACGGTGGCTTGGGCTGTAGGCTTCTACTACTGACTTTAAGAACCCAATCCCAAAGTTCAGTGACTTCCACACAGTTTGAATGTATAAAAAAACCCTAGAGTATTTAACTTAGAGTTCACAATCCTGATGAGAGTAAGCCTATAGCAGAATGGTATAAATTTTCAAAGCCTGGGTGACATGACTGTCAGAAGTAATTGAGGAGCTTGCACATAGACCAGTGATTAAAACTGACTATGCATCGGTACCTGTTAAAGCGAGAAACCTCCTCTTCTCTTTAGTGTAACAGTACCTTTGATCTTTCCTCATTGTTCCTTATTTTCTCTCTCAGCCTCTTCCACCACTCAGAATTAGAAGGATATTTCAATGGTCTTTTGCTGAATTCTTCTAAAAGCTGGAACAACATTGAAATGTTGCAGATTTCTTTCAATGTACTTGAAAAGCATCAGGAACATTAGTAATAATGTCATCAAGAAAGGCCCTACCACAATCACAGTAATGCTAATCAGAATCTTCAACATTTAAGGTGGGAAAAGACTGGATGCACAGTGTCAATATGTTGCCTGAAAAATGTCTTTCCTTGAACAAAATTTTTTGTTTGTTTTTGTTTTTAATTTTTTTTTTTTGCTTTTTGTTTTTTTTTTTTTTTTTTTTTTTTAGAATGGCAACTTACTGTATATGTATTAGGGGAAATTAAGGTCAAAAAAACCAGGAGGACATCTGACATTACCTTACCTGCTTAGTCACAGCATTTATGTCACCTAATAAAGTTGCAGCTGGCCTCACATTATTCCCCAGCTCTTCTGCACAAATATCAACCTGTATTTCCAACAGAAAGACCAAAATTAATTCGAGAATGTTAAAGAGAATTTTTTCTCAGTTCAAGTGAGGAACATTGTCCTACAGGTTACTTCTGGCTCTACAGGTTACTTCTTCTGCCTTTCACTGAAATGACATCAGGACATACTTTATTCAAAGTAAAATCCTATGGTACACACCCATCTTAATAGAACTTCGTATCATTAAAGTTGACTGCTTGCTTCTTTCAAGCTCTTGCAGACCTTATTAGAACATGAAGGTTGAAAGCAGTGATTTTTGTGACAAGTATATGAGAACTAAAAATCCAGGGCTAGGTTGAAGTCCATGCAAAGCAGTAATTTTCTTACTGAAAAAAGTTTGTGTATAGAATTTGGCTAGTATGAAGAAACTGAAAAGTAAATTGCAACCACTGAAGAAACTTCCTTCCTTTATCACAGATGTACCAGACCACTAAGGTTACATGGAATAGCAACATACAACCAGGTTACACAGACTATGAACTGAATTGGTGTTTTAATACCAACCCTTGACAGTGAAAAAAAATTAACTGAAGCAAGATGAAAAAATAGTTTTCTTCACATTCTTTAGAATAACAAAACATAAAAGATATGTTGTTTCGTATGTCAAAAGGAAATCTAGCTAAAAAATTATGTTATTCTTCTGGAAAAGATATAAAGTTGGGAACCTTAGATCATGTTCCAGATCACTGAGGCAGGCTAGTCAGCACACTGAATCAAGTACTACTCTTTGATCACAGACACTAGGGAGGGCATTTTAATGTAATGACTTGTCTTTCCAAGAGCTGGCAGATTACCAAATACATTTACTAATTAAATAGCCTTTCCTCCTCTTCTTTTCAACATTTCTGAGTAACTGAGCTCTTACAATGACTGACTCGATCTGAAAGTAATCTTATTTTTAAAAAAAAAAAAAAACAAAACAAAACTGAGAGAATAATTGGTATGAAAGGTTTCACAATTTCAAGACAATCTGCCTTCAGTCCTGGGAACTGCAGTGGTCCAAAGATCACACAAGTATCATGAGTCTAACCCAGTATTAGTCAGCTACATAAAAGCATGTGCCCTCCTCATTACAGCAGCACCAAGTCCTTGATAGCTGTAACAATTGCTGTAACAATTTTTAGAAAAAATAAGGAAGTAATTAAAGAAATCAGAAGTATTTCTGGAGAATGACCATAACAACCTGCTGTACTGCACTGTCCATAAGGCAGTATTTGCCACATGAAGTACACTAGCAAAATAATCTACAATAACTGCTCTGGGCAATGCTAAAACACAGAGGGTTTCCTTCAAGTGGTAATAATTTTCCTGCTTACCTGAATAACCTTTACATCTTGTCGAAACCTAGGTGGAAGACCAAAATGCAAAATCCAATTCAACCTTGCACCAAGCAAGATGATTACATCAGCATGCTGTAATGCCCTAATAAAGGGAAATAAGAGGAATAAGGACGAATTATTATTCAATTTAATAGTGTTCTAAAAATTAGAAGTAATCCTAACTACCACAGCAAACCCCAGAATATACATATAATCCTTGCTTTCTCTAAGATGCTTGCTTAGCCCCAAAACCCTGTGTACTTTTACATAAATTGTCAAGCCATCTTGACTTTACTAACTCAAAAAGAAAATTAGTAACTATTTTTCTAATACAGTTTTTGGAAAAGGAATGGTTATACCAGGAGACAAGTAAGATGCTGCAGTGATGATGAAGTTGAAGTAAATGACTCAGTACTGTGACACTGGCAACAGTGGGTGCCAAAATTAAGACTGTTGTGTACTCAGTTTAGGCTCCTGTTAATTTACTTTCAGCTGGGTAGACAACATTTTGTATATTCTTTTATTCTCTGTTTTTCTTAATACCATGCTTAATAGTGATAAAGATGCTCAACAAGGGACAATATTTTAATTTCAAAGTATATAAATGCTACCTCTGCATCTACCATGCAGGGACAGCAGACAGCAAAACTTCAGTTGCAACATATGCATTTTAAGCTTCCATTTATGATGTTAAAATAAAAAGCTGGTATTTTGTCTAGTCCACTAAGTTAAATGTTTCACAAACTGTTTGCCACTTTCATTTTATGTTATGCAATAAATACTACTTGCCATAGGTTTCACAGTTACAGAATATTAGCTCTTAGATATGAGTGTCTTCCTGGCTAGTATTCTAAGCATTGTCAAAAGCGATCCACCTCAATCTGTTCTTCCTTTCCAAGCAAGATCTTCAGTACTCTAAAGTGAGGTGAAAAATGTGATTGAAAAATTTGGGTTGCATGCATTTTGTCTTCCCTGGCATCTGTAGACCACCACAACTCCTAGCTGTTTCTCAGATGTTAGAATTAGAAGCCTTGCTTTATATTTACATTGATCTTGCTGCAGCTACACAATTTGGATGGTTATCAGGAACTACTCCTTTTGCCATTGGTGTAGGCAAAAAAGGCAATCCACAAAGGTCCACCAGCTTTCTGATGTTGTTTTCAGCATGTGAATAAGCAGCACCTGAATGAAATGAAAGAGACTGCTTAATAATAAAGAAACCTACCGTATTCACTTGAACTTCAATTCACCTGATTACATTAGCAGCAGAAAGAGTACTACTTCCCAATATGAAAGCTGCCTGTTATTTTTCATCCTGGAGAACTCAAAACATAATATGCTAAACTACAGGTATTTGGGTTCAAATTTCCTGTATTTTTGAAAAAAATAAAAATAAAAATTAAGACTTCAGCTGAACTATTCAGCTATTTCTGTGAAGCAGGGCAGGGAAACCCAGGAGATGTTTTTTATCTAAAAATGACAGTTTTGAGTGGGTGAAGTTTGGTATTATGGGACAGAGACTTCTGCAGCAGCAACAAGAGATGATCCTTGTGTTGTGTCATGCCATTTCATTTTTTTGCTTGCCCTCTGCATGATGATGTACCATGCGCTCCTTAACAACCTGCCCAAACAGGTCTACCTTAAGCCTTTAATGAAAAATAAAAGAGAAGATCAAAGAAGACCTTGTAAAGATATGTGCTTGTGCATGCATTCACTATCTTAAATCCTGAAGAATATACTTCTGTATTTCTTCAAAAAAGTCTGCTAACAACAATATATAGCAGAAAGTTCAGGTATATTTGTTAAGAAGATTCTCAGTTGTTGACATCAACAAAACACACGTTGGTGCATTTTTGAGTTTTCTACCTTTCATTTTCAAAAGAACACCCTTTTGTTCATGTGTATCAAACCAGAGAGAGCAAAAATCACCTCTCCTGATCCACCTTCTGTCTACTATTTCATTACCTATCAATGAGATCCATGTCACCTCAATCATTTCACTCCCTGTTTAACATAGAACCTCTCTCCAAGATACAGATTGTTTCCACATCTGCAGGAAAACAGCCAGGATGAACCAAGTTGGTTATATACGTTCCGTTCCTCGGAAACCTGTCTCTTCAACAGAAACGCCACTGCAGTGACTAAAATTCCACAAGGAGGGATAAAGTAAGTGAACCAGCACAGAGAATTATTATCCTCTACCTTCAGGGAGACCTCTATTTCAGGAATTAAAATACATTGGCAGAGTACAACGGGAAGTCTGTAAAACAGGAGTAACAGCAACACCTGACATGCTGCTTCATGTGTCCATGCAGGTAGGCTGGCTCTTCAGTCAGTCCAAACGGAAAAATGACCTTTGGTTATTCTGTTTCTTCCTATCCTTGATGGCCAGAGCATCAGACAGAGAATACAACTTCTGTATTGTAAAAGAATTTGTTTGAATTTTGGAGGCAATCTCTTGGTGTTGGTTCTAGGTTTAAGACAAGAGTTGCCTGATTTTTTCTACTTAAACTTGTATCTATCAATTGAATTTTCTTTTAAACAAGATGAAAAAGACAACAGTTACACAACAGAGCTGACTTTAACATCAAATTCCACAGAAGTCTGGTTGGTTGGTTTTAATGGAGAGTGAAAAGGAGATGGCTAACACTTATGGAATAGAGAAATCACTTGGGTGGTTGCTCTTTTTCCAAACTCATACTTGTTCAGAGCTGCAGTAAAGCTTGCTACCTTTGCCAATGATTAGCAGGGGCTGTCTGGAACGAGCGATGATAGACACTGCTGCAGATACAGCAGAGTGTTCAGCTGTGCAGATGGGAGGTGGCAGGCAGCATCCCAGGCACCTGCAAGTCAAGGAAAGCGAAAGAAGCTCTTAAAAAAATTCAAAACAAGAAATGCTGAAAGATAAAACCTATTGTTTAGCATAAAGCCACTGGCTACACACTATATTATTCACAGTGTTTATCAGAACAGGCTGTGTTTTTTTAAAACACGCTTTGAAGTTTTTCTTGCATGTTTCTTTAATGTTGTAGGTAGTGTTGCTCCAGATTTACAAAGTGACATCATTGTTATTTTCACTGTATTAAATCATTCCTTTTTGCCCATTTCATTACAAACTATAATCTATGTCACATGTTATGATGGAACACTACACTTAGAGCCTGGATTTTTAGTATCGTTTCAGCTTTGTGGTAAATTATTAAAGCCATTGCTTGTTTATCTTTTTCTTTGTTTTATATTTTATAGGAAAATACAGAAGTAACTTAAACCTAAAATTTATTCTATTCAGTGACTTGAAAAATAATGAATATAATCTTTACGCACTTGACAGAGCTCTTATTCACCTGAAGATTCACAAAATCCCCAGGTATGTCAATATAGCAGGAACCTGGACGACCATACATACTGGTTCTTACAGCCTAGAAAACAGATCATCTCAGTTTTAACCACTGTTTGGCAGGATTTAAAAAATCCTTATGTCTAAAAAGCAATAAAATCTTTCTGTGGGCAGAGAAAGAACATGCTATTTCATATTGCTAAACCATAACAAGGTAAACTCCCATGGCTGGATTTATACCAGTAAATTCAAGTTTCAACAGCTATTTACATCTTCCCTCATATGCTTGTTGAAGCTTTTCAGTAGATGCAGTTTGAGCCTGTAAATTCTTAATCTATCAGACAACTTCATTATCAGCTGTTGCATCCGTAAATACCAAATTAAACTTTCATGCTGAATTCTATTTAAAGTAGCACAAGCAGAGAAAAAACAAGACAACCAGTGCCTCTACTTTCTTTTACTTTTGATTCCAGTTCTTGTATTACAGGTAGATGCTCTGCTGTATTTGCACTTCTGAAAACACCATCATTGCATGCAGAATTTAGGGTGACATGGCTAAGGTGTTGCTACAGCAATAGCAAGACGTTTGTAACCCTTTCTGAAGCATTGAGATCAGGATGTGTTTTTCTCTTCTATTCTCTCAAAAAAAGCCACCAAAACAATAACCAAACTCAAAATCTAAACACAATCATCTCCACACCATCCTCACCCTCTCCAAATCTCCTTCACATGTTATGCGTGGCATAAGAGTTGAAGTTTGTAGTGTAACATTTCTAGGTACAGTAGATCTCTCTAGAAGCATTTCCTTCACAAAAAAATTCCAGCTCTAACGAAAAATGGTGTAGGGATCAGTAAGCATCAGATTGGACCAGAATCTATTTCTAACGTGTTCTATAGAAAAAACCTCCCTGGTTGTTAATTGGCTCAATCAACCACCACCTGAGATCTACAGGATCAAACTATTTACAGTAACAACTATACAAAAAATAAACCCTCAAAACTTATAAAGGAGGAGAAAGTTACTTGACATTCTGGTGCTGATTTAGTATTTTTCATACCTTTTCAATAACAGCAGGACACACTTCTAGGCTGCTTGGCCGGACAGACAGTTTGTTGTACAGCCTACCAGCTTCAACCTGAATAAACGCATATAACCGTCAAATTGATTTATCCAAATTTGCTCATTTCCATCTCATTGCAGCATGAATAAAATCAAAGAAATGCCTAATGGTAGGCAACAAGCAGAAAACTCCCACATAGGAAAATGTAGTTCCGCAGCTGGTGGAAACTGTCAAAGCCATACTCATTTCCCTGAGTACTTAAGAATTTTTTTTCCCCCAGTGATACTTCTTTTCTTGGAAAGTTTATTTTGCTTGCTTTCATCTCAGAATAGAGAGAAAAAGGTGATTTATACCAGCTGAGCACCTAAAACAGAGGATGAATTATAACATGAGTATGGACAAACATATTCCAGGTAATCTGCTGTATTTATGCAATGTCAACTTTAAAACAGTAGATGGAGCAAATCAACAGCATTCTAAGATCTGTTTGGAAATGTCAGCCTTTGAGACTGTCACACCTACACTAATAAAGAAACAACACTGATTATTTAACTGAAACCTTTCTGCAGAAAGTTGTGTGTCTGTGTACCTGTGGGAATTCTTGGAAAGCTCCCATGGTTTCCTGGTTTCTGTCAGAAGAGCCTCCAATAACAATCAAAGGCCTAGAAAAGTATATAAAAAACAAACAAACAAAAACCAAAAACCACCTTAAGCACACACTTTTTTTTTTTTTTATAACTGCAATCACATCTGTAAACTCTCCTGATGCTCAAATGCTACTGCTCTTGGGATATTGTGCACCTCTAGCATCCACAGATCTCAATGGGAATAGAACGTGACCAGCACAATGCAGGGGTGGATACTAAATATCAGCATGTCAATGGGCGTAGACTTCCTAGAAGTTTTTGGGTCACTACTTTCAGGACAGTCTTGTCATATTAAGTGATCTGCACCTAGTATAAAAATTCTAAACCCAAGTCATACTGTAAATACATAGCAATTTTCATTGATGTTTGATAACGAGTGACAAGATGGTTTGAGAGGAATGACGACAGCTAATCTAAAAAGCTAAAATGTATTAAGATGTTTATTTATAAGAGGCATTATAACACACACAAACACTAGACCAAAGTAACACAGTAAGAAGCAATCTTTACAAAAAGATGACATTTCCTTTGTATACAGTTTGGAACACAGCAGAAGCAACCATCTGACAGCACTTCTCCCTGCATTCAATTTTTAATAAAAACCCCAAAGAGATGAAAAAAATATGAACATGCCTACAAGCAGTCTTGTTCTTAAATTTGTTCACGGCTACATGAGAAAGGCAGCATTAGTTTACAATATGGGTTACACACTGTTTTTAAGCCATGTTTGTAAGTCCTAGTCATGGCAGCCCAGTGAAGTCCCCACTGACTGGAAAAGGGGAAACACAAGCCCCATTCTCAAAAAAGGGAAAAAGGGAAGAGCCGGGCAACTACAGGCCAGTCAGTCTCACCTCTGTGCCCAGCAAGATCATGGAGCAGATCCTCCTGAAAGCTCTGCTAAGGTACATGGAAAATGAGGAGGTCACTGGTGGCAACAAACATGGCTTCACCAATGGCAAATCGTGCCTGACAAATGTGATGGTCTTTTATGATGGAGTTACAGCACTGGTGGATAAGGGGAGAGCAACCAACACCATCGACCTCTACTTGTGCAAAGTACTCAACACTATCCTGCATGACAACTGGTCGCTAAACTGGAGAGACATGAACTGGACAGAGAGACCACATGGTGGATAAGGAATTAGCTGGACCCTACAGAGTCAACAGCTCGACGTCCAAGTGGAGTCCTGTGACAAGTGGTGTTCCTTAGGGATTGGTACTTGGACCAGTGCTGTTTAACATCTGTCAGCGACACAGACCTAACCCTAACCCAATCCCAAGCACAAATACAGGCTGGGCAATGAGTGGATTGCAAACAGTCCTGAGGAGAAAAGATTTGGGGGTGCTGGTTGATGAAAAACTCAACATAAGCCAACAATGCACAAGTGAAGCCCAAGAAGCCAACCATGTCCTAGGCTGCACAAAAAGAAGCATGGCCAGCAGGTTTAGAGAGGTGATTCTCCCCCTCTTCTCTGTTCTTGTGAGACCCCACCCAGAGTACTGCATCCAGCTCTGGAGCCCCCAACACAAGAAGGGCGTGGACCTGCTTGAGTGAGTCCAGAGGAGGGCCACAAAGATGATCAGAGGGCTGGAACACTGCTCCTACAAGGATGGCCTGAGAGAGAAAAGGTTATTTAGCCTGGAGAAGAGAAGGCTTCAGGGAGATCTTATCATGGCTGTCCAGTATGTGAAGGGGGCTTACAAGAAAGCTGGGGAGGGACCCTTTACAAGGGCTTGCAGTGATAGGATGAAAGGCAATGTGTTCCAACTGGAAGAAGGGAGATTTAGATTGGGAATCAGGAAAAAAATTCTTTCTATGAGGGTGGTGAGACAGTGCAACAGGTTGCCCATGGAAGTTGTGGATGTTCCATCACTGAAAGTGTTCAAGACCAGGTTGGGCAGGGCCTTCCACAGCCTGGTCTATGGGGGCTCAGGACTAGATGATCTTTCAGGTCCCTTGCAACCCAACCCACTCTGATTCCACAGGAGCACATTTTTATTACCATTCCCACAAAATACAATACATTATTTTCCTGCAGTGAATGAAAACTGGTCTTTTATTCAGTTTGCGGGTCAAACTCCTTAAAATGCTAAATGCCCACTCAATTAAAGAAAGTTGTTTTATTAATCTTCTCATTCATCCACACTGAACTGAAATATTGGGTCAATAGCTTTCTAGGCTTTTTGTCCTAAACCATTTCCTTTCCTTGTCTTTCCTTTGAGGGCATATATCTATACAATACATTAAGATGAAGTATCTACAGTGTGCTCAACGCATAATCCTAAATTTAATCACTCCTAAGGTTTGGGGATGTGTAGCTAGATTAAAGCTTCATAATCAGGCCATTTCTCTGTGAAAAATCAAAAAAGTTCTAATCCCCTGACATAGTGAGATGAGAACTTCAGGTTGTATCTTGACCTGTATGAAAAATCCTTATTGAAAAATATATTTGGTATATGCTCTGGGTGTTTTATTCTGCAGATTCTCCCCCCTCAACAAAATGGCAATGACTACCCATGGATAACTACCCTTTCAGTGACAAACCTGATGTTCTTTTCACTTAACTTTATCCAATTTATTTAGAAGTTTTAATAAACAAAATAGCTACTACTACTACAGAATACTGAAATATAGTTAAGAAAATGATCTATTCTTAAAGCTAACTCCAACACCTATATCTTGAAAAGATCTGGTTCTGCTTTTAAAGTTCAAATAATTGTAACCAGAAAGAAGTTTTTCTCCCACTGAAGTCATTGTACTATTGTCACAATACTGTAGACATTTTAAAATGGTGTTTTATAAGCATATAAGCAGTGCTTATAAAGTAAGTGAAAACTAACAGAGAGGCAAGAAGAACATTGACTACAATGAAACTAATGGACTTATGGACTTGCAGGATAAGAACTTCAGTAAACTGATAAGTATTTCAGCTGCAGCTGCAGATAAAGAGCATGGTTTCATCACTCTATTGACACTGAGATCCTACCAACTATCACAAACCCTTCTTTGGGGGGTATTCTCACAACCAAATTGAGATACAAAACCTTTTGCTTACAATGAGGCAGAAGAGAAGAAAGCAGCAGAGTAGGTAATTTTTAACATTAAATATCAAAAGGTTTTACCCTTGGAAATGCAGTTTAGCACAGCCCAAGTAGCCACCTAGTTGGCTTGATTTACACATCCAAGAGCTCACAGTGACAAGCTTCCAGGGCACATCAAAGGCTCTTCTACTTAACCAACTTGTGCTTGGGCAATAAAATCTAAAAGCATAACTGGTAGAAAGGGGTCCTACTAGATAGCTTGACTTCCTTCCAGTTGATGTAGAAGAGGTTTCTTTCACCTGGAAGTGACTGAAGCTGAGTGGAATCAGAAGACTGGGTCTCTGGGCTCACGGAGGACAATGGAGACTGATCTTTAATGACTACCACTTAGAGTTACTTACAGTCAGAACCAGCAGGGTCAGTTCAACTATTAGCTTGCTCTCCTGAGAAATGAGCCAAAGCCCAGCCATGGCAGCATGTTAACAACGCAAGGTGTAGTGTCATGGAATTGCACGAGATCCATGAGATAGAGGAGAGTGAACCTTGCCTTTCAAATTGGTCTTTTCACATCACTTCCTCCCAGGGGATGGTATAGAGCAGGAGACAACACCTTGTTGCCACAGAAGGAGGAAGACCTCTCTAACTTCTGGTCCCAGCTGCATAATCCACTCCCTCACCTAGAGCTTGGGGCTTGCCTGATTGCAGAGTGAGCCAATGTACATCACTTATGATGATGCTATTTACTTACTTTTGTTGGGTTGGCTTTTTGCCAGAATAATGAACTGAATGTGACTGTTGGGGAAGACAAGTGTCAAGAGAGCCAGCAGCAGGAGTATGTGGTCAAGTGAAAAGTGTGGAGATTATATGGGCCCACATCCCTCTTTGAGGCAGACTTCATTAGACTGGTGTAACCAAACCCCTCAATGTGTGTTATATTTTCATCTGCTTTCCCTTGCAACACTCCTTCCCTGTAGTGCCTGCCCAAGGATTCAACCAGATGTCTAGTGAAACAGGCTAGAAAGCTTATTAGTTAACTAACCCCTAGAAAAAATCCCTAGTCTTCCTCTCCAAAACACAGTACCCTCTCTCACAATGGTAATGCCAGCCAAAAGTAAACATGAAAGCACATTTGAGTGCCTACTAATAAAGGAGCCAAGGAAAATTAGTTTCATTAGATTCAACTCAGGTTTACAAATGTTTACTTCTCTCCTTTTGGGACATGGTAGGCAAAAGGCAAGCCTGAGGAGACCAATAAAAACAAACAAATAAACCAACCAACCAAACAAATCAGTGGGCAAACACAGTGGTTTGGTCAGTGCAAACCAATCTTCTTACTATATTGTAAAATCTTCTCCCAAAAAAGATGTCACTTTCTTCACCTTCTGCCAGGAGTACAAGTTTATGTGAGGTCAAGTCAGATAAACAGACCTTACCTCGGAGAAAAGAAAGTCTGTGAGAAAATAGAAATGTCTCCTGCAAATCCATAAGCAAGTGCCATGAATGCTTTTTTAACTCAAATCCATGACTGTTCAAAAGCAAGGTCTTCATATAATTTTTTTTTTAACCTAATGCTACAGAGGGACAATAAAACTTTAGTCAATAACTCTTTTTTTTTTTTCAAAGAATTTGAACATTAAAGTGTTTTTTATTTTTCAAAGTGTGAGAGACTGGATTTGTTAGTGCTCCTATTATCCAGCTTCCCTTGCCCCTCAGCCACTGCTGATCTAATGCTCTAGATCATTTGGTATTACCAGAGCTTCTACCCAAAATACCTCATACAGTTTCTGAACAGCTTTCAGTGGCAGACCAGTTAAATTTGCCATGTCTCCATGAAGGCTTGTGGGAGTAAATGCAACCACTCTGTGCATCATTTAATTCCATAATGAATTACTGCTCTAGATATCCACATAGGGAGCCAATACAGATTTTAAAAATGCAGTTGTCAAATGTTCACATAGAAAGAGTAATTAAATTTAAATTTAGGAAAAACCTCTAAGGCTCTACAGGGTCAATACGGCACTACATTGACTTCATTTTCAAACGCACCTGTACAAGCAGGTATACTGACAGATTTTCCAATATATGCATAATGAGGTAGGATAAAAACAAGAATTTTATCCAAGAGAATGCAAAAAAATGGAATGAAATTACTTTTAGGGTTGATAAGTGAAGACTTCCCTTCTCATTACCCACAAGAAAGAAGAGAAAGTCCTATACTATAATACTGTGGGGTTCAACATCTGCAAAAAATAACGGCAAACAATTATTAGAAACTTAAAGAGAAAATGTAGATAAATTACCAGCAGTTTATGGTTGCATTTGCCATCCCACCAAGGGCATGCAAAAAGCCTGGGCCGGACACTACAAGACATACTCCTGGTCTAGGAGGGAAAAAAAAAGTAGTTTTGGTTACTAAGGTCACCAAAACGCATGAATGGCAAAAGATTTGTATAAAGGAGTAAAGACAGACAAGGGAATCAGAAATCATTTAGCTAGATCAGCCCAATTAAAATTGAACAGTTGTTACATGCCATCCACACAAACGTCTGTAACATATGTAGGCTCATCATAACACAGCCCCTCACTTCTTTTATCCCATTTACTCCATTATCTAGCATTTATATGGAATTTAGTATGCCAGATTATTATACTTGCAGTTTTCTCAACTCCACTTCAGCACTAGATAAAAGTGAAGAAAGCTCACAAAGTAAGAGGTGCGTCCGATTAAACACAAATTTCATTACAGCTTAATTCAGGCAGGGGCACTTACTATTCCAGGTGATAAAATAAAAACATTATTGACTACTGAGCATTCCTTATCCTTATTTGCAGACTCTTTACATATCGAGGTGGGGGAGGGAAGGTATTATCAGCATTCTTCCAGAGGATTATTCAAAGAAAGAAAAGCTACAGACCTGTGTAACAGGTGTCACACTAGCAGACAGAATAAGGAATGATCACCTGCACCACTGGGTCTGCATTTGTGAGCAAGCAGACATCAGATGTTTACTTCAGAAAAGGATCCATGGGATAACCAGGAAGGAAACCTCAAGCCACACGCCACAGAATGCTTCCCAAAGACATGAAGAGCAAAATGCAATAAAAGAGGAAAAGCCAGCTCTTTTGTGTTAGGAGAAGCACAGGAGAGACTGGGAAGCATATGGTCAGTCTCTGTATTGATAAGGTTTTTGCTGAACAGTACACCCAGATGATGAGCCTGAGGCATAGCAGGTCCACCAAACTGCAACAACCAACAGTGGCACGACTTCTGCCCCTCAGACCAACAGTGTGAAGATACTATTCAGACAGTAAAAAGGAACAAAAATTAAGTTATAAGATGGACAATATTATACAAACTTAAGCAACTCCTTGCTCCTGTCTTAAATCATAGCAACAGAAATATAGCATTTATTCACAGTTATTTTAAAACTTCTGTTCCATTCTACATGACCTACATCTGCACAAAAACCATCCAGCTCCAAACAGAAAAATGTTCCTAGCTATTATTGAATCTACTACAGTTAATATTATAAGTTATATTAATATAGAATGTACCTGCCAGTCAAATATCCAACAGCAGATGCAGCATAACAAGCCTATTGAAAATATCGAAGTTAATTACACAATTATTATTATATATACACATTTCATGACATCTTGTACATAATTTTCAACAAAATAATGAAAATAAGATAGTACAGACTTTTCCCTGATCATCAGAGCTTAAATGTAAGTAAAAGCACCCCTCTGCCTTTCCCATTATAAGGTGTGTTCATGAAAGTTTACGTGAAAAATCTCAAGACTCCTCTCCACATTTCAGACCCCTGTTGTTAAAGAATATTACATTACTAACATTTGAGATTCAAAAAAAAAGACCAACCAACCACATAAAGAAAACCCCTAAAGCCAGGGAAGCAGAATGAACAGAATAGCGCAACAAGCTTCTGCCTTCCACTGCCTTCTGGACTAACATGGAAGAGGGATCTGCAAGAGAACAGCTACAAAGAGAAATCCAGCCATTGCTGGAATGACTCTCTGTATTTCAGAAATTAGGCAAAAGTTTGAAATCACATGCTGGAGAGATTCATTAGGAGATCAGGGGCTGCCTTTAACGAGCTGAGCCACTGAAGCTCTTTTCACTCCATTTCTGATGCCACACTTACCATTAGCTACTTTGACAGTTTAAAGAAAAATCATGTTTTGAATAATTTTCACAAAAAAGCAGCGCCTACAATGTGTTAGCACAGTTTATCAGTAATATTATTACAGAGTACATTTTTAAGTTGCCCCTGTAGTAATATGAAACATTCAGATAAAAATTTTACCTGGTAAAAAGACAATACGTTATCACATAGATACAGAAGCTTACAGGTGACCCAAGAACTCCAAAGGATTCACACATGTGACGCTGCCAACTCCCTCCTACTCTCATGCTTTTGTCTGGAATTCAGCAAGTTCTAACACTTAATGGAAAAAACTAACTTTGCTAAATTTTTTTTCCCCATTTTTTTTTAAAATTAAGCTTCTGGCCTTACTGCCTTCCCCTTTTATTTTTAAATAGAGATTTTGGGTTTTAATTTTGAATACTACTGTGGTAAGAAGAATAAGACCCCCAACAGGAGAAAGGCATATAAAAAAGAAAAAAAAAAAAGTTGCAACTCCCTCATGAGAAAACCAATGAGCACTTAAAAACAGAAGGGGGGGGTGTGGTAAAGAAACACCCAACCCAATCTGCCAATGCACTCCCTTATTCTGGAATTATAGTAATTGCTTCTCTCCAAGTTCTTTAAAGTAACATTCCTTTGCTAAGGAAAGGTAAATTAATTTCATTCTGTTGTAAAACAATTAAAATAAAGAATTGGTCCTGCCATATATATATATATATATATATATGCACACTTACGGATTGTTCATTTCTCATTCCTACATATTTTATTCCAGCTGCTTGGGCTGCAATTGCGATTTCAGTGACTGGAATACCAACAACACCAAACATGTATTCAATATGCTAAAAAGAAAAAAATGTTAAATCAGAATTGTTTCCAAAATACAGCTTTAATAAGCACATGTCAAACACAGTCATAATAGCTACATAGGGGGTCTCAAAATAAGTTGTAACAACATATATATTAACATAAAACCTTACAGGCCACCGTTGAAACATACACAACGCCAGCTGGTGTTTGCAGCTCAGTCCTCAATGGCTGTGAAAGCACTAGTTTTGGAGGCCTACAAACAGTGGAACAATGGTTCACCCCAGCTCCTTAGTGTACATTTGTTTAGCACTTTTTAATAACCACTCCTTACTCGGTATGTCTCTTTAACATTGTTTTCCTGTTTCTCAGTATGTCAGCTTCCCCTTCTCTGCAAATCCCTTGTACTGTTTTACGCTTTTAAAGAAAATTAATACCAAAAAGGCCCCTAGAAACAGCTGGGATAATACCACACCTGGTGAAACTTAAGAGATAAATAAAGACTGCTAATTTTTATTACAACTGAACCACCTTTTCGTGTGCCACAGGCCAAACAGAAAGTCTGCTGTTAAGACTAGCGCCAGTTGAGCCACCACCTCAAGTGCAGAGACAACGAGCAGCTTTGGCAACTG